AAAGAAGAAGAAGAAGAAGAAGAAGAAGAAGAAGAAGAAGAAGAAGAAGAAGAAGAAGAAGAAGAAGAGGGAAAAGGAAAAGAAGAGAAAAGAGAACAAACGACGGGAGGGGCACAACCCACCACCAAGCAACTGGACAGCTTAACACATATTGACTATGGATGGAGTATATATATATATGTATATATATATATACATGCGTATGTACACATATATCCTCACCAACCCACGCAACGCCCTTTCTCGACCGGACTTGACATCCCTACGGACTCACTTACAGCGTCGGGCGGCAGCTAGGCAAGTGGATCGATCGATCAGCCCACTTGACTACCTATCCGTCCTCAGCTCAACTCAGCTCAGCTCATCTCAGCTGAGCACGAGCTCGAGCACGCCGTTCACCATCACCATCACCATCACCATCACCATCACCCCCCACCCGTCCGCTCGCACACATGCATCCATCTACAACCGGACGATGATGCAGGCGGGTTTACCCCGTACGGACGGACAATCTCCCTCCCACCACGGATAGAGCCCAGACAGACCCAGTTAACTTAGCCCCGTAGATCGTACGGGCGAAAGCGCGGTAGAACTCCTGTATCCGTACGGAGTACAACTAGGTACTGGAAGTAGTAGGTAGTACTACGTAGTTCTACCGACTTTTTCTCTTTCGGATTGGGCTCAGAAACCCAGTCACCACTTCCGTACAGCAGGAGAGGGATGGCACAGACCAGACGAGACGGATACTTTAACCTCGAGAAAAACTTTTTTTTGGGTCAAGGCGGAATCCCTACCAGCTCATCCTATTAGTAAAAGCTTTTAGTAAGAGGAGGGAGGAGCTCTCTGTTAAGGTTACATTTCTGGCTTCCCTAATAATATCCAGAGAAGTTGGTGAGAGATGATGGTAGGCACCGGTAACAAACAGCTACTACCGTACTCGTCATGTGTCCATATGCACACCTCCCATCCCCCCTCTCGCCATATAAAAGCTAGAGCCGATTTAGCTCCGTAGATCATACCTGTACCGTAGATCGCAACTCTCTGCGGGCCAAAAAGAAAAAGAAAAAAAAAAGAGAGGAGCAGCGCTAGTTCGCTTGGCGGGTTTTCTTCCGGAAAGGCACGAAACCTAGTCAGTCAGTCAACTCTATTGTACTGTCATGGTGCTCCGTACCGTACGTACGTAGGTAGCACTCCGTAAAGTGCTACGTACGTACGCAGTACATCATAGTGATAGCACAGACCAGAGAGAAGACTTTGCTTCTTGCGAAGAAAAAAACACAAAAAAAAAAAAAAACACCTCACGGCTGTATCACGACCAGGTGATTGGGTGAAGAGAGCCCTGCTACGATAAGTAGAAGGAGAGCCCTTGCAAAGGTTACACTTTCCGCCTTTATTTTGGAGGACGAGAGGGAAGGAGGGCGGGGGGGGGGGTGAAAGTAGTACCGGCGTCAAGGGCTAAGGGCTGGGAGCGACTCTGTCATCAATCACCCTTTTACTCAGCCTCCTCCCTCCGAAGAGTTTGCCTATACGTGGCATACAGTAGAAAAAGTCTATATGTATAATACTGAGATATTAATTGGAAATGGGTGCCTGGTTCTTTTAGAATTGCACTTCACACAATCCTACGCTATAATATGGTTGTGATATATGATAAGT